AAAAATTTTAGACAGCACAATAACAGCTGCAAGTTTACACTATTATTTGTCATGGCAGTGAAATTCAATTGAAATTAGCAGACAAATATCTTCAGGAACTTTAAGATATGTCCTAAATAGAAGATAGTTTCAAAGCAGCTTATTCTACGAAAAACTACCAAATTCACTGCGTGATATCCCAAGTTGTGAGTGTGATGAACAACTCTCGTGGAGGCCTTGGACTATCTGTCATTCACAAACATCTATTAGCTTAATATAGTCCACTGTTTTCAGTCTAACCATAAACTGAACAAGTGTACCGTGTGACTCAAAAACCTGGAATTCCAGATACCTATTCATATTTTGAGAAAAGTATTGACTATGAAAAAACACACCCACTTATACACAAATACTTAGCGAATTAGGCTAAAGTTATAGTCAAACTTACGTTATTCGTTAACAGTGAAAAGATAACCTTGTTTTCAACATTCTAAACATTTTTATTTACTCAATTTCACGTATCGAACGATCCGTGTGAACTTAAACATATGTATTGAATATACGAAACTGAAGTTCATTTATGTACTTCATATTCAAGATGACTGAAACGAAGTTTTTAAAGCATAATAACTTGTGATCTTTCAAAGCTAAGGTTACTTTTATCTTCAATAATTCATCTATACAAGAATAAGAGGTGATCTTTTCGTTAAGAAAACAATTAAAAGAAAGAAAATCTAGCAGATTCAGAATGTATTTGTGCTATTTCTGTATCAAATATATTTTATACAACCTAAAATTGACCTTAAGTATTTTACAAAATAGAACGAGATACAAAAATAGAAGTGTTCATGTTCTTTTAATTAGGATGTTGGCAATGGTTTAAACTTGCTGGTTGAAACTTTTATGGACATATCCTGCCATTTTTCGTTGCACAAAGAAAAATGTCAGGAGATATCCGTAAAACTTTCAAGCAACAAATAGTGTTAATGGTCACATGATAGACACAAAGTATCGATTTTATTGGAAATAAACAACAATGGAATGTCTAGACAAGAATATTTTTGTTCTTGTCAGTGAAAATATATTTGTTAAAGTTTGGCTTAAGACAATGTTGGCTTCAGTATTATACCGCTGTTAACATGGTTCTAATATCATGAAACACACCTGGGTCGTCGTGGAAGATGTAAAATCTGACGACCTGAGAGACACCTGCACACTAGATAGTGACGTAAAAGTGCACACCTTCAATTCACCCATAAACAAAGATATAATATGCTGAGACAAGCCTTATTAATTTTTGAAAACTATCAAGTGGTCATTCAAAACGTATTCTTTACATTAATCACGACTCATTTTCCCACTGCTAAAACGCCCATCAAAAGTTAAAAAATTTATGTGCATCCCACGAGAAGGATCAACATAATCATCCAGTTAGTATTATAGTTCAATATACTAAGAATGAATTAGTCAATTAGGATCAATAACTGATAACTCACACACACACACAAAATATCCCGTGCACTTTCGAAATGTTCACCTTCCTTTTTCAGAGAACAAAGGGACGATCTACTTTCCGAAAGCACTCGGGTTATCTGGTTTAGTGTTATTCAATCATTCTGTTAGTAATAACATTGTTATTATAAATCTAAAAAGGCCTGGCATTAACCATTTACGAAACATAGGGCTGAGAAACGTTTTACCTGACCAGCGGTGTCACATAGCTGCAATCTGATTGGTTGATTGTCAACTGTCACCACAGCTAGAAAATATATAATAAAAATTTTAAAAGAACACTGACAGTTGATTACAAATCATGAAATTTCAGATTAATGACTGGGAAAAAATACAATCTAATGAATCTGGAAAATTAAAATTGCGCAACAATTGACTTAGCTGTGTTAATATTCTATTGTTAATTAAAATAAAATAAAAATATGATTTGAGAATAGAACATTCTCTGCCTATCGTAACAACAAACAAAAAGCAAATCACAGTAGCTAAAAAAATCCGAAGTGTCACCCTGACTTTTAAACGTGCTGACAAAAATAACCTCAGCCGACTTCGCAAGAGCTGAGTTTTCAAAATTTCCTTTTTTAGATGTATGCACCTACATACATCCTGCCAAAGTACGGACATTTTATTGTATATTTGTTACTAAAGGTGCTATGCTTACTCCGGGTATTGAGAAACCCTGTTTTTAGTGTTATAAACCTCCAGAATCGGCGCTAAGACACTGGCGAATGGGGGAGGGCTTACAGAAGTTTATGGATGAATTTTAATTCGTTATCCAAGAAGAAACAAAAGTTAAACAGAAACACCTTAGTTTTATTTTATAACAACTTAATATCGCAGTAGATGTAAAAATATGAATACAGATATGTGACCATTATTATTTTTATAAAGTAAACATACGTGAAACAACATCTTACGTTTTACTACTAAACAGTATTATAGCCTAAATTTAACATAAATATTTAAAACTTATCTATCAAGTGTATTGGTAAAAAAAGGAAGAAATAGATAAGTAAACAAACTAATCAAAAGATCTTCTGCACATCATCAAATGTACCAAAGTCGTTTATTTGTTTGTAGTCAAACACAAATATATACAATAAGTTATCTACGCTGTTGCCTACTGCCAGTATCGAAGCCCGGTTTCTAGTGTTACTAGTCCGCAGATTTACCGCTGTGTCACTCGGGGCACTGCCCAAGTCGCTTTAATTTATTCAATAAACTATAATATGATTTGGCTTTCATTAACCTTCGGTATAGCCAAGATTTACTTATCACAGGCAAGTAGGAGTGATTAAAGGCGTTATTTCTTAAATGTGAAATAGTTAAACGCCATTTTCTCCAAATGAGATGTGGGTAAACAGCGTGTGCCCTATGATACTGTTCTGTATCATAAATTAAAAAATAAATAAATACATACATATATATATAATATGACTGACAAGCCACCTTAGAATGATACCAAATATTCATAACACGCTATACACACAAAGCTTAAAAAAGAATACAAATATATTTATTTTACATACCAGAGTAGTTGTCAAAGGCCGTAGGAACATACTCTGTTGGGTAGCCGTTAGTTGTATAGCTTACTATAAGACTCGTTTTGCCCACAGCTCCATCACCTACCAATACGCATTTTATCTTACTGATATTATTTTCAGTTTTAGATTCGAAGTCCGACACAGCACTCGCCTCTTTTCGTATCAAAGGTGTCATTCTGTTCTTTAATGAAAACGAGTTTTAAGATTAGGTGTCTAAAAAAATGTTAACTAAGTATTTCACTACGTTATTAAACAGCAACTCAATTGCCAGCTTAACGTAACATCACAATGGTTTAAAAGTGATAACGACACTGCATTTCGGATAGAAAAGGTTTTACAGTAGTGAAAATAATACAGGTTAAAGGTTTTTTAAGCAAATAAAATTAATATCATAACTTCTAGGACATCACGTTAACATAAACTACCCCAAACAAAACATAAATCTAGAGAACAACAACTACGAATGCGGGACAACAGAACACCTAATGCTTGCGCGCGCGACCTTAGCAACTGGTGCCGTGACGTCTAGGAACTGATACTTGACGTCATACCTAATTCTAATTGGTTGAAGCCTTGCAAGGCTAGCGAAGCTATCAAGTACAAACAAAAAACTTCTGTTTTAGGTGATGGGTTAGCTACGTGTTAAATATTTTCATGCTTCTTTTATAACTGACGGTATTACATTTATTATTTACGAGAAAACGATTTATTTTTTAAATAATGCAAAGGTATAAGGAACGTAAATTTTTTTCATAAAAAAGAAAGTAAAAAGGCATTTTTTTGTATTAAAAATGAAAGTGGAAGTCGTCTTGCGAGATTTTCGCCATCATAAGTTAAATCTATGTGCTTATAACTTAGAAATCATCAGTGCTAGAGTAATAAGAGTGTGTTGTAGAACTAAATATGTTACTCCGCCTGTGACATCTAAAAAATCTAAAGCAGTTTGTGTTATAGCTTGAAAGCTAAGATTTGGTATTCACAGCCTGAATGGCACTTATGCTACACATAGGCTTAACGATAAGGTCAGAGATCCCAAGTTCGGCAGTAGCCAACTCTAATTGAGAATTGATCCAATGAGAGGAGAGCCAATCAGCAGCACCCGACACTTCATGGCTGCTTTTATCAGAACAGCAAGATTGACTTTCATAATTATAAAACTCCCACAGCTGAATGTGCAGTCCAGCATGCTAATCACTAGGCCACGCCTAGCCTTGTCAAGATTAGATTCTCACTAAGGTTTGAACTATGTATCTTAATTGCAATTTTCTTTGAAGAAATTACACATAGGCATTTTATTGCGAAATATAAGATAGCAATCAGTTTAAATTATTTCTAATTTTAAGAATAATAACATGAAATAGCATCAAAGAGACATTTGGAATTAGAGAATGAGATGGTTAAGCTTGTATTTATAAAAAAAATGTTTATGTGATTGACTGTAAAGGTAGAGTTTGGTTCTGACAAAATTAAATCATGAGTAAAAAAAAAGTAAAGACTTAAAATTTACTCATGTGTATGTATATTATATATATATATATATATGTGTGTGTGTGTATGAAGGTAGGTACGAATATCGGAATATTATACAAACCACCTTTTAAGAAATACTTACAGTTAAATCAATACACTTCAATAATATATGTATATATATGTATTATAGTTCTATAAGAAGTTGCTGCCATAAAGATAAGCACTTGTTTAACTGGTTAGAATATGTAAATATTACGTGTAAGGGGGGGGGGCAATAGATGGGCAAAGAGTTTAAGGAGACAGAGGAGGGTCAAGTGTTAATAAATACAAAAGAATAGGCTTTTTGCCTTTAAAAGGTGTCCATTTATTCTTTTCAATTATAAAAAAGCCGAAATTACTTACTCCAGTCTCTCTTTCCACAGTTTCGCCATGGTCTGATGCTGTTTCAAGCTACAATTAAAACTCACCCTGTGGGTCTCATCTAACTGATCTTTTTTCAGCTCAAGTTATGTAGTACGACTACCATTCCCATCCAAAAAAATAATACTTTCATGTAAGGTGGGAGTCACAATGTGGGAATAATATAAAAGTCTTAAAAGACTAAATCCTGATATCTCACATGAGTGGGTTGCTGAAGGGGAGGGGAACTCTTCCTATACAGGTATGCCCTGACGTTACTCTGCTGAACAGGCCAAAACAGGAAGTTCGTAATCTTGATCTTTTACCTAAACTTGATCTTAGCTTCTCAATGCATTTTATTTTCAATTTTCTGTACCTCAAACAGTAAGACATGTTTCATATATCTAAATCTCATAAGCAAATACGAAGTCGTTGTTTGATTGTTTTTCGTAACTACCTTATTTAATCTATATAAATACAAATTAACAAGCAACCGAATTCAGTACAAAATTTCACAATAGCCAACTCTGGCTTAAAATTCTACTTCTCTTTTTTATTAGGAATACTTTGAAAAGCGGCTTCATTCCTCCTAGTATTCACATACACCTCAGAAATGTATATATCAGTTTGATGCTGAATTTCAGAATATACGTCTATTTGCTACTTAATTGTTTAAAGTATAAAATAAATTGAATTTTCCGGAGCTATTTCACTTCATGCTTTCGATTAGTCTCAGTATACCTATGGGGTGAATATTTCAGGAAGAGATTTCAAGCAAAACTTGCGACATTTGTCATACTTCATGACGATTTTTTTAAGTTCATCGCCACCACTTTCAGTATATACACACTAAGCTAAATATTGCACAAAACAATTTCATTTTCAATATTATTAAATTATTCTTTATTACAGTTGTTTCAGCATATCAAAATACGTAAACACAATAGTTTTTTCAAAATAATTCATAATGTCAAAACAAAACAAAAAAATGATTGCTTGAATTGTAGATATAACTAGCCGATTGTTGAAATATGAAATAACTGTGCTATATGCTGTATCGATAAATTCGTAGCTTAAGCAGAAACGTAATTTGTGTATCCTGCTTGCAGCATGACAAGAAATTCAATTACTATTCCATTCATCATCGTTAAAAATCAAAGAAACAAACAAAAAACATAAAAGTAAAAATATAAGAAAAGTCACGTGACACTAGTGCCATCTAGTGGGAGGAGGTGCAATCAGAGATATCAAGTTATTTAAAAACATACGTATCACACGGTGGCAATATACAAGTAGTATAGATAATGGATAAGTATATATAGGGAGAGAAGGATAGACAGAAGTTTGAAGTATAGAAATATACGTTAATTTTATAAATATAAAACTACATGGTTTCACAATTTATATCATTTATATATCGCATGAATGTAAAGGAACACAAAGACGTTGTAGGCCAGTTCCATAACGCAACTAATGAAATAAAAATTAAATACTTGCATTATTGAAAACAGGTTTGGTTTGGGTTTTAGTCACTTAGAATTTGATTACGGTTAGTTGAAGTTGTTAGTTTTTTAACTAAATTGAAAGACATTAATGATCTATAAGAAAAAAAAAGATTGACGCATTAAGGAGCCAAAAGTAATTTGTTAATTGTACATTTGCTAATATGGTGTGAAGTTTACACGGATCCTGTGTATGTAAAAGTTGAAAGAATGATTGTGTGATATATCGAGATGTTTTTGTTTGTAGTGATTTTTGCTTATAATAAAAATTAGATTTTAATAAATGTGCTCGCGCAACGTTTATCTGCTGATCTTCCTTTCCACTTACGATTTGTGATTAGTAGAATAACTTAGAAATTCAAATATTTAACGGAAGAAAAGTTCTGAACCTAGTACTTGATTGATATTTCACCCATGTCGCTTTATCCTAAGTAAAAAGTATTATTATATTTATTAATAACATTGAATTTCTAAATGATCGCATTATGATTGTCTAATATTTAAAGACTATTCAGATAATAATGAAAAATAAATATATATCCATAATTTTAACATAAAGATTCTTAATAATAAATTACAATGCTACTTGCATGTCTGTTGCAATTCGTGTATAGCTGTATAGCTGATAAAGTAACATCAGAAACGTACAGTGCATTTTGCTGATATTCAGATCTTAAGACAAATGCGACTTTAAATACGAAACTCACAGGTGTAATCTTAACTTACGCACATTAGAAAGCTGCTGTAATATGAACATAATTTTATCAATAAATGGATATCGTACAAGAGTGGGTGCAAAATCTGTTTGTGAACTGCTAATTTAAATTACAACAAAGATGGCAGAGCACAGATAGCCCATTGTGTAGCTTTGTGCTTAACTTCAAACAAACAAACAAACTCACGCAGTTTGAAACTCAGTTAAGTTATCAAAGAAAGATCATTTTTCTTATTTCCTGATCAAATCTTCTCGTATTAGCGCGTCTAGCTATCTAATACCTGTAGGAAAACCAATTCATCTGAAAATGCAATAAGTAGATAGGAAGGAGACATTTTGGAACCTGGACAGAATAATTTATTAATGTTTTTATTAATGTGTTTAATGGCTTTTGCTTGATGTATTGTGTGGAAAAGAGTTTAAAATAATTCTTTTACTGAAAGAACGTCTTATTATAGACATAGAAATACTCACTGTAACCACGAGGAACAGTTTCGAGAAGTAAGGATGATCGTTGACGTGCTTGGTGCGTGTCGAGCAAGAGAATTTCTTTGGAATTACATAGAAGTCAAACAACCTAAAGAAGACACCCGCAGAGTAATCTTAATTATCCTAAATATCACCAATGAATACTTTTTTATTGGGCACTTTAGTGTTCGAGTCCCCTTTCTTGTCTGTATTCATTTTATTCTTTCGTAAAACATTTACCGAAGCTGCTGCTTATTTCGTACCTCAATACTGCTAAATGCTATATTCGTAAAATGAGAAATGGGTAAACTTATATCCTTGACCAAACCACGGCAGTGTTACATAAAACAAAACTCTGCTTTGTCACACACCGCATTTATAAATCCTGTATTCTCCAAAAGTCCATTTTCTTTAGCGCCAATAATTTTCATATTGGTTTCTTGTAGCTCTAAAAGTAAAAGTACCATATGTTTTATTTATCTGCTATTAAAAGACTATTATTATTAATTATTCCTTTGCCGGTAGGTGGCAAGCAATTTCGCTGATTTTGTCACAATTATTATGAATATAAGGGTTATATAGGGTTCGAACGTGTGTATGATTGTTGAATACGGTTTTAATAATTGTATGGTCGTTTATATTATTTGTTAGAAACAACGTATTTTATTCCAACTTTTTAAATTTTATCTATCATGTAACTGATAATTTTACAAGGGTATGAAACTGAAAGAAGAATAGAATGAGCACACATATTAAATTGATGAAGAAGAAGAAGATTAGTTTTTAACATTAGACTTTTAGTAAAACTTAGTTTTAAACTAAAGTATAACTTGGTCTTTAGACTGCAACGATAGTACTAGAAGTTCATGTTTGTTGTTTTCTCGGTAAAATATATAGTGGTAGTGCGAGTATCTTCTGGTTAAGGACTGGTTTCATTAGTTTAAAAGCAAGAGATTCTAGAATTCTAAGATGGAGTTCTTCTCTGGATTAGAGAATAGCATAGAAAAAATGAATGTTCCCTTGTGCTTACCTTCCATTTTTCTGTGTCATTATACATTCCAAGGAAGAATTCCACCTTACAAATAGGTGTAAAACATTTGTTTTTTTTTAAACACTTGAGTTATAGAAGAACAAATATTTATTTAAAGTGTTTTAGTGGCATATTTAGTGAGTATTTATAATAACTTAATCTTGTACCATTATAAATACATTTATTTCTGTAGAACAGAAATTGAATGTGTTCGTTTATTTGTGATTGTGGTGGTATTGATATATATACATTTTTAGATTTGCACCCTAAAACACCTGAAGTTTTGTAATGATAAAAATATAAAAATGTGTATTAGTAATTTGGAAAACTGATTTCCTTGAACTTCACTGAGTAAAAAAAACATTGTTCATAAAAACAAGAAGCTCACAGTGATGTGTAGCATCTTGAGCCTGTTTGTTTTATATGAGTAGCTAAAGTTTAGCAAATAAAAGATAATAAGTGAAAACTAATATTGTGTCCATCCATTCTTCAAGCTTGTATATTTAGAGATTAATTAAACTTGTATAAGCAGATCATATGTTGAAAAACAAAATGTTAAGTCTTATCTCTGGTAAGTTTCCTGTTTTAGAGCATTATGAGATTGAAAATGACAAGTTGTATGCTAGAAAGACATACAATTTGTGGATTTAAAAAATATAAGGGACTTTAAATGTGTTCCAGTTGGCTTTTAGTACTAAACAAATGTCCATTTTATTTCTGTATCAATCTTTAGATGCATTTATTTTTTGTAGGTACGTTCTAATAAGTATGGGGATTATATCTTTGGGACTCAAGTTCATCTTTGCCAATGTGCTGATTATATTATATATAGCCTATGGCCCAGGGCTTCTTGATATCCAGCCTCAGAAATATACGTATGTAGTCATATCCTATTTATGTGAGAGGAGTAATAACATTGTACTAATAAATAAAATTCACATCTTAAGTAGTTGCTAGAGTAGCATAGATTTAAGGCATTATAAATATAATATTAAGCCATAGTATTAGCATCATTGATATGGTTCACAATTTCCCCTTTGTGTAATCTGTGGAAAAATTAGTAATCAAAACAATTGCTCATACTTTGTAGACAAGATACAACTAATAAGTAGTTCTGATACTGTGCATACATTTAATGCTTATGATTGCTAGGCCAGGCTTTAAAATGTTTCTAGAATTTTTTAATTCAGAACTATTTTCTGCCTATTTTTCAATGTTTAATTACAATATATTATTCTACTAGATGAAAGAAACTCGGAAGGAAATTACTGGAAATAAAACATATCCAAAAATTGTTCATAAAAAACATTGTTAATCAAATTAATCGAACCTGTGTCTATTCAGTTTTGAGAATTTGTTATCAAATGACAAATGAAGTACTACAAATAATGAACATTATGCTTTGCAACCTATTCTTAATTATAGAAAATATAAACAGAATTATGGCTGTATTCAATTTAAGCACAAATATAACATCTTGTGCAAACTTTGCTTATTTAGAAATAGAATATAAGATAATGATTATTTTATGCAACTTAACTTAAGAGACTACATAGCAAGCAATAGAGAATTTTATCTATAATTTCCTATGAATTATTGAATGTATAACTGCTTATACAAAATATTTTAACCTTCTGGATGGGAAAAGGATGTTTAGTTATGTAATAATTTACTTATCTTTAGTTTTTATTATTTCAGTGTGGAATTACCAAAAAGGTTTGAAGGAGTTTTGAAACAAAATGATGATTTAAATCAAGCAGAAATTCTTTATCAGGGAAAAATTTCTGGACCTGAATCACTTGCATTGTATAAAGGTAGAGATGGTTTCATTGAATTTATGGAACAATGTATAAAACGTATTACAAATGATTGAGAGTACCGGATAATATATAATTTCTTAAATTCATTAATTCTGTCAAGTATTTTTATGTAACTTGTAATTGTAAGATTAAATGGAAAATGTTTAATTGTTTCATTGTTCTCAGTTACATTTTTCATTAGCTTTAATTGTATCTTTACTGCTTCTTTCTTTAGCAACAGAAAGTAAGGTATCAGAATCTTTAAAATATACTTCTGTTAAACCTAGGAGACATATATACTGGAACAGCTGATGGAAATATTGTCAAAATTTCCAAGGACAAGGTATCTGTTGTGGCTAAAACTGGAAAAAACTGTGGTAAGTTGAAACATTAGGTTATTTTGTATTTGTTTTCATTAGAAAGCCATTGAAAAATATATATTGTATAACACAACAATAATTTTGAACCTCTATAATTTGATACTGAAAATATGAACAATTAATTTTTTTTATTTATTAATAATGTTTTAATTTAATTTTCTCACTTTGAAAATATGAATATTAAACAATAAATACTTAAAGATCAACAAGATTTAAGATTTAACTACCTGTTAAAGATGCAGGAAATTAAAGCATACTAGTTTTTATCCCTCAAATCTATAACTTGTTTTTATATGAATCAATATAAGTGGAGTTCACATACTGCATCATATTGGGTAATTTTGTTTTTACATGTTGCAAAATTCAATAAAAAATATTGTGTTATATAAAACACCAGGGTTAATGGGTATAGCTGGGCAATTTGTGGAATTTAATAATTGGTTAATTGTCAGGCTCATTAATCGATTACATTCAAGTAATAGATTATTCTCACAAAAGACTTAGCTTTAATAATTGGAAATATTAAATGAAATTGATTATTTTCATGCACCATGGCACAGATGAATTAAGCTGAACAACCTTGAATTAATGAAATAATATTAATTAGAAATCATAATGGAAATATTTCAATTACTTGGATGGTTGGAACAATCTAAAATAGTAACAGTTGCATCACTAATATTGACTAGTTGATTATTTTTTTGCAATTGATGCTCATAGTTATTTGAGTTAATTGTTAAAAGTAATTAAAGTTTCAATAGAAGTATTAATTTTCTGTGAAAACATATTCAACATCTTTCTTTTTATATTACATTCTGTATAGTATAGACACATAAGGCTGTCAGTTTGATCATTCCTTAATCAGTAAGATGATGTTATGTACAGTTGTGAAAACATGTTGCCAATAGTAAAGTATAAGGTAAAATACAAAGTTTTTGTGAGACTGCAGTTTATATGTGGTACATTGATTCTAATCAAAAACACCTTTGATGTGAAGAAAAGGTACGGTCAAAAAAAAGGAATGAGTGTGTAACTTAAAGTAATGAAATCAGAATTGACAGCCACACTGATAGCTGCACTTATATCATTGATAAAAGTTTTAAGGCAAATATTCATTCATTAGTTAGCCAGGCTGCATTTTTTGTTCAACATGGGGCATGATAGTGGGTAAAACAAAATATGCAGCCAAGCTAACTAATGAATGAATATTTGCTGTAAAATACTTATGAATGCTATATGTGTAGTTACCAGTTTGGCTACCAATTTTGATTTCATTCCTTTAAGTCGCATACTCAATCCTTTTTTTCGCACATAAGGTGTTTTTCATTAGATGTAATAAATTTTTGTCAATACACACCAACAAACCATAGCAAGTAAGAAAGTGACACTCGATAGTAACCCATATTAGTTTTAGGATCGCAACCTTATTATTCAGAACAGATCTTTACTTTTCAGAACTAACCAGATTCTTTAAAATATATGGTGGTATTTTTCCTCTCTAAAACACTGTTAAAACTTCCTTTATAGTAATGCCATGGAATTTAGATTAACAGTTTCTTGTCATCTCCCCCATCCAATCGCAACAGCTGTATCAAGCATCATAATTTATGCTAATTGCTTAAATTAATATCACATGATGCTAAGTGCTCTTGAATTAGGATAATTTCATAGAATTTAGTAAATTTGTCCTGAAAAGTTGGCAATTAATAATCAGTAATAATCATCCCCTATATGGTTCTTTTGAAAACATGAGCTAGAAGCTGCATATCAACTTTACTTGGCCTAACCAATACTTATGTATCTGCACGTCTTTTCACCTTGTAGTTTTGCTGCTCAAAATCAGCTGTTTTTACTCCGAATGACAAAAACTAAAAATGGTCCACTTTTATGCTTAGGTGAAACTAATAAAAATATTAGATCGATAGCTCACCTGACTTTTTGAAAACTTGAGCTAAAAGTTGCTAATCTAGTTTGCTTGGCCTAACCAATACTTATGTATCTGCACGTCTTTTCACCTTGTAGTTTTGCTGCTCTAAGTCAGCTGTCTTTAATCCAAAGAACAAAAAAATGGTCCACTTTTACACTTAGGTGAAACTGTATTAAATATGTTAGACTGAAAGCTCATGTGACTTTATCGAATTTGAAAAATTTTTGTTGAAAATTTGACGAAAATGTGGCTTATTGTTACACCAAATGAAACTCCTAAGGTAGATTGAAAAGATCCATCAATGTACCAGGTTTGAAAATAATCCACAAAAGTTAAGTATGTTTTTCTATCAAATAAAGTTTTCATACTTTTGGTGTGAAGAAGAAAAAGGAAAAAAACTCAATCAAAATTGGAGATATTATATCTCAAGTATTTCTTGATGGATTGCCTTGAAATTTGGTATTTGAAGTAAGAGTCCAGTTGATCCAGTATGCCTATAGGCTTAAAAATAAACCTTTGTTTTGGGGTTTTTGATCAACCCTGTTTTATTGCTATGACCCTGAGAAAAATTTCAGTTTCTTTAAATAAAATTTTGATATGGGCTTAAAAATTTAAGTTGTCTTCTGAATCCTTGTTGTTCACTTGTAATAATTGCAAGGTAAAATCATGACCTTCATTTGTTTATCTCTGTCATCAACATGACAGTGTTATATGTTTGCTTTGATCGTTATCACATTTAAATGCATCCCAAGCAATATTGCATGTGCATACACATACATGCAGATAAATAAAACAAACAATAAACAGATGTCCAGTCCAAATGACCTGGTTTTAGAACAGGTAATGTGACAAAGTTGCGTGAAAGGGACTTCCAAAATCGACGACCTGAAAGTCCTGGATTTTCTATTTTTGTGAATTAGTAGAAAGGCTGGACCTGTCATTTTAACCTCTACTAAAAAATACTTTTGGTTACTTAAATGTGTCTAGGAAGCTGGTGTTTATGTACAGTGTATGGTTTTTGGAAAGTTTATTAAGGTATGTGGTAAAATATTGATCTCTCAGTCTTCTGCAGAAGAAATAGAAATTGTGGTGTTGAACAGCAGTTTGTATGTGTTGACCATCAGAGTTAGCAAACAAAAAAGTGATTAAGGAAATACCTCTAAAGACTACAAAACTTGGAACATCATTCTAATTAAGTACAATTTACAGTCTGGTGCATATGGTTTTACTGTATACATTTATATTTTGTTTTTGCTTGGCATTACAGAGCAACACTTGGAAAGCCCAATCTGTGGAAGACCTCTTGGGCTGAGATTTGATAAAAAAGGAAACTTGTATGTTGCTGATGCATATTATGGGATTTTGATGGTCAACATCGACTCAGGTTTGTGTAATGCTGAGCTCTTTTATATTCTTGTCCTTTAATACACTTAGTATCTACTGACTTAAACATAATTTATTAGGACTTAAGACTGCCACTTTAAAGAATATTGCTCAAAACAGTGGTTCATTGTCATTGAAAGCTTTATATTTTTGCATGATAACTAGTTAAAAACTATTAATACATATTGTTTAAGTAAATACAATATAAGGTTCTAAAATCTATTTCATCTCCACTTTTAAACTCCTATCTATTATTAATGCACTTATACTATCTGTGTTGTGAACCGTTTTCATTTTTTGTTATTTTTACAAAATTTTAAGCAAGTAATTTGCAAACTTTTCATTACTGTTCTGTTCAATATAAATAGTAATAACTCCAAATATATCACTATATACCTATTCATTGTGATTTGGAGATGAATCTACATCAGTTGCATGACAGTTTTAAGTTCTTAACCATTTTCTTTTGTTGAATAGAGTAATGTCTTTAAGATGCTGTGGAAAATGCAATACTTTAATGTAATATTATATTATCTCTTTGGTAAGTGAGCTTTGAAATTTAGCACCAAAATAAGACAAAACTTTTAAATATATATAAGAATGTTGTTCAAGCTTTTGTTAAGGATGTGAAGTATGACATTCCTCTTTTGATAAGACTGACACATTTTAATATTAAATGGTTAGCCTGTTATTAACACATACTGTGGAAATACTAAATGGATTTATAATGTTTAAATAATAAGTGTTTGTAATAAAATATATTACCTTAAAAATTGTCTATAGATAGTTAAGTTTAGTAATGAATGCTTTCTTGGAAAGTTTTTAAAATGACATTAGTTACTTTATTGAAATTTTTCCATTAAAATTGTTGAAAGAAATAGCTATTGGGGAATTATATTTTAAGCTTTCTGTTTTTATACACTTTATGTTGACCCACACAAGTATGGAATATAATTTTACAGCCTTTAGGTTAGGTTTGAAATAGTTTCTCTATAGAGAATTTAAGCTTGGGAGGTGTATTGATTACTGTGTGTGACTGTGGATCTGAGGGTCCATGGTTCACATACTTTTGCTGCAAAATAAAAAAAAATCTGGCTTAGTAATTTAGCAGTGTGGGTGGGTTATGAAAATGGTGGTCAAATCCTATTATTCAATCAGTAGCCTAAAAGTTGGTGGTGGGTGCTATTGACTAGCTGTTTTCCTTCTAGTCTATCAGTTCAAAATTATGTACGGCTAGTACAGATAAACCTTGTGTAGCTTTGTATGACTAATCTATACTTTAATGTGATGAATAAATGTGTTTTTAACGTGTATACAAGTAATTGTAACCAAGAGACATAATTCAAACATGCTTCTAGGCTGACATTGATGCCAGTTATAAGAAATAGTGGATGGTGATTTTGTTATTGTTTGGACATCCTCATAAATAATCGTGATTAGATACTTACAAATCTATCTGTAAAGATGTAATTAATTTAATTGTATTACAAAGAAACAATACTACTATTCTATGTCTAAATGATAAGAAAAAGGGAACTTTCTGTAATTATTACTTAGAATTTAGCTTATGAATAGGTTGTTCATTATTTATCTGTTTTTAAAATGTTGAACATCAGGAGTTCCATTAAGAAAATACAACATTTATTATGTTTATAAAGAGGATCTAAAGTGGTTATTGAAATTTTTCTAAAGGTACAGAAACATTTATGAGAAGGTCAGTACATTTTACTTATAAGTATTGCCTTTAAATACTCATTTATAGAGCTCAATGATTAGAAGTATTTGCCTCATTAATCAATTACTTTAATTGATTTAAT